GCCTCAGGTGTGGTGCCAATAACTTTTAAACATGCTGCTGTCCAGCCTCTCCTGAAAAAACCTAGCCTTGACCCCTGAGTCAAGTCCAACTTCCGGCCTTTCTCCAGACTCCCATTTGTCGCTAAACTACTGGAAAAAATAGTGGAGTCCCAGCTGAAATGCTTTCTAGAGGATAATGCCATCTTAGAGCTATTCCAGTCTGGCTTTAAACCTCTCCACAGCACTGAAACTGCTCTACTCAAGGTTTTTAACAACATTCTCCTATTCACAGACGCTGGTGATTCTGTGCTCCTTTTCTTACTGGACCTTACATCTGCCTTTGATACAATCGACCACGAGATCCTCATTGCGAGGTTAGAGCAGTGGGTGGGCATCACTGGGTCAGCCCTCGAATGGTTTAGATCTTACCTCGCTGACAGGTCCTTTTGTGTCTCCATCAAAGATTTTAGTTCAGCCTCGGCAGCGCTTAAATGGGGGGTACCGCAAGGGTCCATCCTTGGTCCTCTTTTATTTTCTTTATACCTGCTGCCACTAGGTGCTATTTTCAGGAAACATAACATACCTTTTCATTTCTACGCAGACGACTGCCAAATCTACTTCCCCCACAGACTCAACGGTACTCGCTCTATTCAACCGTTACTGGACTGCCTGGCTGACATCAGAGATTGGATGGCTTTAAATTTCTTGAGTTTCAACGAGAAGAAATCTGAAGTTATGCTGTTTCCTCCCAATGACACAATCACCAACCACTGCATCGACCTATCCGTTCTGTCACCGTTAGTGAAACAAAGAGTCACTAATCTAGGAGTGATACTTGACCCTTCTCTGAAACTCAACAATCATGTAAATATGATTGTTAAATCCTGCTTTTTCCAGCTAAGGCGACTGTCTAAGCTGAAGCCCATATTGTCCAAAAATAACCTGGAGACAGTAATTCATGCATTCATTACATCCAGGCTCAACTATTGCAACTCACTCCTTTTTGGTATCAGTCAGACCTCCATAGCTAGACTCCAACTGGTCCAAAATGCAGCAGCCCGGTTTTTGAACAGCACAAGTAAAAGAGAGCACATTACACCTGTTTTGGCCTCCCTACACTGGCTTCCGGTTCACCTTCGAATCAAATTCAAAATACTCTTGTATGCCTATAAATCACTAAACAGCTCTGCCCCCTCCTATCTTACTGATCTGCTCCAGCCGTATGACCCACCACGTTCTCTCAGATCAGCAGACCAGTTGCTCCTAACAGTCCCAGGAACCCGTCTTAAGCGCAGAGGTGACAGGGCCTTCTCTGTAGCAGGACCAAGACTTTGGAATGAGTTACCTCTGCTGGTTAGACAGGCCCCCTCCCTCACAGTTTTTAAATCTCGCTTAAAAACACACTTCTATTCCCTGGCTTTCAGCACTGTGTGATCTGTGCTGAGTCTGTGTGCATCACACTGTGTTGGTCATGTTGCGGTTGTTGTTGTTATCCATTACTGTTTTTGTTGGTTTCTACCTTTTGGTGTCCTGTTATGTAATCTGTTGCTATGTGCTTGTTCTGTTTGTCCCTGTACAGCACTTTGGTGTGCTTTGTCACTGTTTAAAGTGCTTTATAAATAAATTGGTATGGTATGGTATGGTATGAACACATCAACATTTAAACAGATCAGCAGCAACATGAAACAGATCAGCAGCAACATGATGTGGTTTTTCACAGTGATTATTCTAGTTAGAGATTCATGAGTCTAACAGCCTCAGGGTAGAAGCTGTTCCTCAGTCTAGTGGTTCTACACTTAATGCTCCTCAACCTCCTTCCTGAGGGGAGTGGGGCAAAAAGTGTGTGTGCTGGGTGAGTGAGGTCCTTCATGATGCAGGTAGCCCTCTTCCTGCATCTAGAGGTGTAGATGTCTGTGATGGTGGGGAGGCTGACTCCGACAGACTTCTGTGCAGCCTTCACCACTCTCTGCAAAGCTTTTCTTTCTGCAGCTGTGCAGCCTCCATGCCACACGTTGATGCTGGAGCACAGGATGCTCTCCACTGCACACCTGTAGAAGGAGGTGAGGACTGAGCTTCCAGTCCAGCTCGTCTCAGCCGCCTGAGGAAGTAGAGTCTCTGATGAGCTTTCTTGATCAGGCTGGTGGTGTTGTTGCTCCAGCTGAGGTTGTCATTCATGTGTACACCCAAGTACTTGTAGCTGGAGACCACTTCCACCACAGATCCTCTTATGTTCAGGGGGGTATAGATGTTTTTGTTCCTTCTGAAGTCCACAATCATCTCCTTTGTCTTCTTCACATTGATGTGAAGGTTATTCTCTTTGCACCAGCTCTCCAGGTGTTCCACCTCTTGCCTGTAGCTGGACTCATCATTGTTTGTGATGCATCCCACCACTGCTGTATCATCTGCAAACTTTACAATGTGACAGCCTGGATGGATGCTGCACAATCATACGTGAGCAGAGTAAACAGGAGAGGGCTCAACACACATCCCTGAGGAGAGCCAGTGCTGAGGGTTATGGTGGAGGAGGAGAGGTTGTGGATCCTCACTAACTGTGGTCTGTTTGTTAAAAAGTCTAGTACCCAGTTGCAAATGGAGGGGCTTAGTCCTAGTGTGGATAGTTTGTCCATCAGGGTTTGGGGGATCATGGTGTTGAAGGCGGATGTGAAGTCCACAAAGAGCATACGGACGTAAGAGTTTTTCTGCTCCAGGTGGTTGAGCGCAGTGTGGACCACAGAGGAGATGGCATCCTCTGTTGATCGGTTCTCACGGTATGCGTACTGATGAGGGTCCTCGTTGATGTTGATGGTTGTTTTGATGTGAGTCATGACCAGTTTTTCGAAGCATTTAGCGACTATCGGAGTGAGGGCCACTGGCCGATAGTCATTCAGACCAGTCACTGTAGAGCTTTTTGGGACTGGGATGATGGTGGCAGTCTTCAGGCAGGTGGGAACTGTCTCCAGGGTAAGTGAGGTGTTAAAGATGTCTGCCAGCACCTCACAGAGCTGATCAGCACATTCCTTCAACACTTTTCCGGGGATGTTGTCTGGGCCAGTTGCTTTGTGCGGATTAATCCTCCTGAAGGTACTCCTTACTTCTGCTGAGGTCACGCTGAGATACTCTTCATCTGGTGGTGAGGTGAGTCTGGTGCTGGGTGGTCTGTTCAGGTCTTCAAAGCGTGCATAGAAACTTACACAAACTTGGTGAGAAACATGTTTTAACTGTGTGGAATTAAAGAAAATCTAGGTGAAATGTTGTTTTGTTGTTCACTAGTGAACACCTTTTTTAACGTGCGCACACACGTGTACACGCACACACGCGTGCGCACACACACACACCTATACACATCATTGTGTTCCCCCCTCATTACGGATGCTTCTGACGCCCTTGCCCACGGGCCAAAGTTGGTCCACCAAGCTGTCCTCATTACTAAATTAAAATGTCCTTTTGAAGTGTCAGTGTGTTTACACTCAGTCATTCTGACTTTAGTTTTTTACCCGCTTCTTCCATTTTGGGTCACGGGGGTCACCGGTGCCCATGTCCAGCAATCACTGTGTGAGGGGTGGGGGGACAGGTCTCCAGTCCATCACAGGGACACATAGAGACAAACGAGACAAACAACCATTCACTCTCTCTCTCACACCTAGGGACAATTTAGAGTTACCAATCAGCCTAACATGCATGTTTTTGGTCTGTGGGAGGAAACTGGAGTAACTCACACATGCACGGAGAGAACATGCAAACTCCACCCAGAAAGTCCCTGGACTGGGATTTGAACCGGCAGCCTTCTTGCTGCGAGGCAGCAGCTCTACCAGTTGCACCACTGTGCTGCCCTCTGACTTTAATGTTAATGTTAAATGGCAGTCAGCCCAATGACTACCTTAATGGCACTACACAGCTGGAGTGGCTAATTTGTGCATGAAATTATTTAATTTTACTAATTTATATTTTATTTTGACAGACTTCCTACAGCTTCCTGCCACTGAAAACATTTTGCTTTGGTCCTGCACTAAGACACTTACAAATCACACATAAAGCGTTTAAAAATAGCCTAAATTATAAATATGAACTGGCTTAAGAAGTGATTTTAGCCTCTTTTTGGGGGTGCTCAAGCACCCCTAAATTTAAACTCAGCACCTCTGAAAAAATAAACCATCATTAGAATTTTGTAAGAAAACAGTTCTCAAACCTTAGATTCACCAAAATATTGAATATGGAATAAATGACAACAGACTCAAACGATACAGTAAAATCTATGATTTTTTTTTGTATGAGTCCCGCCACCTGTCAATCAATCCAGCATGTCAGCAACTGACCAATCAGCAACTGACCAATCAGCAACTGACCAATCAGCAACTGACCAATCAGCAACCTCAGCTTACCCTGAATTGAACGTCCCTTACCTGCAGAGCTGCAGCTTTGCAGTCAGAGATTTCAATAATAACAAGAGTTTACATCTTTTGTTTCATGTTGATCTACTCTGTAGTAAACCTTTGTAAAATACACCAAAATGCAGGAAATGGCATCCACTTTATTCAAAATTCTCTTGCGGAGGAACCCCCCCCCCCCCCCCCCCCCCCC